GCTGTCGCCGGGGACAGGAAAGCGCATGGGTCCCGGTGGAGATGGCAGTGAGGAAGGAAGATGGATCTGTTTTGCAAAAGGGTGTTGGGGTTTTTTTGATTTGGGTTTTTTTTTTATTATTTTTTTGGCAGTGGGGGCTCATTGTAAGCGCCGATTCCCTGGGCATGGCGTGGTGGTTGTCAAGGGACAGCTGTGATTTTTCTCAGTATCTCCACCTCTGTTTTAAACCCAGGTTTGAAAGTGTGGTGGTAACTAGCCTTTTATATATAGCTTACTATGAGGAACAGAAGTTGAGTCATCTCTTCTGTCTAACATCCTGCTTTGAGTACTTTGGGAGTAGCTTTGCCGCGAGCGTGGCCTTCTACAAAGCGGAGGAGAAGAGCTAGAGATAGCTGCTCACACGTTGTCCTAAGTCTGACATCCTTGCCCCTGTAAGTCACCTTTGGTGAGCATCGAGTGCTATCTGGGAGGTGAAGCCTTTTCAGCCTATGGATTGAGACACTGAAACAGAAACTTTCGGCAGGGGAAAGATCTGGCTGGTTTGCCCAACTGAGTTAGTGAGTGGGAGGTAGAGCCTCCCTTTGTCCTTTCCATTTTTGGTTTCAAAGTCCTAGGTATAATGCTGTCATATGTAGCCACTCCTTGGAGGTGCTTTCTAGGAGTGGCCAGTTAGGAAGAAACACAGCTGGAGAGACTTCTTTTAGACTTTCTGGTATGTTTGTAGTATTTTTCTGGGAATGTTTGAACTCATCAAAACATTTAGAGTGACAGGATATGGGATGCTAAAGTTGGGAGGGGGGGGAAAGAACAATTCTCAACCCTTTGAAGCTTAGCACTCTTTGTCACACAGTACCATAGCAAGATGTAATGCAATCTGTGACTCTGGGCAATTGGTCATTTTAATTCTGTTAAGCGTTGCCCAGACATGTACCAACTAGAGCTTTTGGGACAAGCATAGCGCTACTGTGATTTTTCTCTTCCCTTCTTATGGCTGTATCCCCAAGAGGATGAAAAGTGCAGCAGTTCGGGAGAAGCTGGCTCCTTTAAGGAGGCTACAACCACGTTGGGTACTGGCCATGAGGATTTATTTTTGTAGGGGTCCTGCATGTAGATCTGGTAGTTGCCACCTTCAGAATGTGCCCCTGGATCATCTGTTCCTTTTGATCTTGTGAGTCAGCGAACGCCAGAGGGGCAAGGGGAGGCATGGAGCCATCAACGCCCTCATTGGGGGTTATTTGCTCGACTCGGTGTAGTCTATCAATACAAATTGCCTTAGTTTCCAACTGAAGTGTGGGGTTTTGGGTGTTTTTTTTTTTTTTTTTTTTGTGGTAGAGCTATATGCAGACAGTAGGAGAAAATAAGTAGCTTACCCGATGGTGGATTATTTCATTTAGGGAATCTCTTTGTACTGACGCCAGGGGAAGAGGATTAGTGGTGACCTGTAATGGGTATGGTAAGGAAGAGCTCGAGAGATTTCTACAGCTGCTGTTGCTGCTCTTGGATGCTGAGCCTTTCTCAGTGGCATGGTCACCTCCTATTTTTCTGTCATATGATATTGATGTATTTTGTAGCAAATAGCAATCGCACCTGACTCTATGTGGCCATTAGTGCTGATCAAGGACGGGAGGCCTTGCATACTTTTAGGTGGGGTTTCTCTTTTGTTGCTAGTTTTCTCTGTAAAATTAGCTGTGCTTATTTTTTTCCTTAATCCCACCCAAGCCTCCTGACTTTTCCCAAATTAAACTGAAAGCATTGGTTTATAAATACCCTTCTTACTTTGCTCAGAGAAGGCGAATTGGCTAGCGAGTGTGTATTGACTTAGCTATTATTAATTTTCAGTGCTTTACTTATTTTTTTTTTTAATATCTTTTAAGTACAGGATGAGTAATGGGGTCTGACTTAGGAAATTGTCTGGGTGGCCTGATTTGTCTTCACGCTTAATGTCTAACTTTGACTTGTATTCAAAGTTCAAGTTGAAGTCTGTGGTCGAAAATTACAAAGATGTTTTCCAGGAGCTGAAGTCTAGCGGCTGAGATGGTGACAAGAGATTGTACTACTTAGATTTGGTTATCTGTGAACAGGATATGCTTAGTGAAGAGTTTTTCCTGGGTTTTAGTTCTTGTTCGTCCTGTTACAGTTAACTGCCCGTTATTCATGCAGACTCTTCTGAAGGGGCGGGTTGAGTGTTATCTCTACAAAAAGGGCAGCTAACCCGTGTTCGTTGTAGGAGTTGATTCATAAGAAATGTAAATCAGTGTGGATAGTTACAGCTGATGTAACCAGTTCTATGGAAGCCAGCAAAGCTGTGCCAGTTCACGTCAGCGGCAAATCCCTCTCCGTGACCTGTGACGCTGTCCTGTACCACCAGACAAGGTGGGCTCGTCTGCTCCTTCTACAGCGCCTGGCCATCTCTGCAGAAAGCCCCATGAACTTGGCTGGAGAGCCCATCAGTACTAGTGCATCTAGAAGCAGCATCGGGCAAGGAGTTAGATGCTCTATTATAAGCGTGTGTCTATATAGGAAGCAGCAGCAAAGTAGCTCTTTTTGCTATTTTCCAGAGAGATGTATTTTCGGGGGGGACTGAGGAGAAACATTAGCTGTCCATCTGCCTTTGTGTGCGGTGGAGAACGTGAGCTGTTCTCAGGCGAGATAGGAGCGAAGACAGGCGTTGCTGTCCTTATCGCTTGGTTGTGCACTCTTCTACATCTGTTATTTAGTCTGTGGTAATTTTCTCAATGTTTCGGATGATATAAAGAGGCTACTGTTTTTATTCATAAAGCAGTGGTTTAAAAGTTCACAAAAACAACCACCTTATTTTTCTTTTCTTCTGACTCCCACCCCTTCTCTCTCACACGCCCCTAGCAGCCATCGGCCTTCATTTTGTGTGGCCCGGAGTTGCAGTTACTGAAGGCAGTGTGAGATGACACAGCTGAAAGTTCCCAGCCATAGTCTAGTGCCGGAGTATTAGTCAGCACAGCATGAAGATTCACTTCTTTCCAGGTAGCTTTCACCCATAGTAATGTTTCTTGCTTCTAGAATGACTAGGACAACAGGGGTAACATCTGTCCTTGGTTGCACGGCATCCTAATTTCCTAATCTAGCATACAATGTTGCTTTGTGATGCACAAATACAAACTTCTATATTTTTCCTCCTTTGCTGACAACAATCTAAGAAGCCTCATTTTTGCAACCCCCCAGTGTTTCTTGGTATCTTTAATTTATAACGTCTAACCTTAATGACTGTGACTGGAATTTAAGCTTTTATCCTCTCTTGAGAGCGCATATCTGATGCAGAAATAATGTCCTGGAGTCTAAAATGCTATAGTCTAGCGGTGGTGTGATTTGAGGTTTGTGCTGCAGATAGGAAATATCAGACAGCTATTTAAAAATATCAGAAAGGCTTCTTTCATTTTTCAATTTTTTAAGCTTAAATTGAGGGAGATGGCTGGGGTGATCTCGTTGGTGAAATTTGTTCAGAACTTGACTCTCTTGTGCTTTAGAGCATGTTTTTTGTTTGCAGAATTTGGCACTTAGCAATGGCCCTTGGGTGCTCTGCTCTCTGGAGCAGCTACCAGCTTCTGATTCCTGGCCTGGAATGCTGGCCTTTGGGCTGCACTGCTAGCAGAGTCATCAAGGGCGCTTAAAATTAATGAATCAGTCCATGAAGCTATGAGTCTTGTGTGTGTGTGGAAAGGGACAGCAGAATGCTCTAAGGGTTCTTTTCCCTACTTGATACCCTGGCATTGGAAACTGCCCTGCTGATTTTTGCTGTCTTTGTAGGAATATTAAATTTTTTTTTTATTAAATTTGTACAAATAAAGACGGAGGGAAAGGGGAGAAAGCTGCTGAGCCCATCTGTGCAAGACTTATAGGTGCCTGTTAGTACCAGACTAAAGAACCGTTTTCTTGTCTAGCTAGTGTTGTCAGGCAGCCCTTAATTTGTAAGCAATTCAGAGCGCAGCCAGGGTCCCAGAGAAGCAGTCTTTCAATATCGGTGGCAGGATTGAGCCCCATGGTTAGAGCTGATATGACATGGCAGGGAGAGAGAGATCACCCAGCAAAGCTGAGAGGGAGGAATGTTTGCACAAACCAATGCTGCAGGGAGAGTGCGAAGTGCTGCAGCCTTTCTGTTTTCTGCAAGGCTAGATAAATAACAGTGAACATGACGTTTTTATCGAATGAAAGCCCTGGAGTTAAGGCAGATCAGAAGGTATTTTGCAGGCCTGCTAACCTTTGCGCGGTAAGCTGGGTTGCCTTTAAAAAAAAAAGGCTGCAGTGAAGCGGAGGCTGGGGCGATAATCCCCGATGAAAAGTCCTTCATGACTTTCGGAACTTTGCGGCTGCCGGACTGAGCAAAATGGGTGGAGTTTTCCCTTTAAATAGCTGCGCCTGAGAGACACTTGCTGGTGTTGTGGTGACACTTGGGTGTTGCTAAGGCTTTAGGAAGTCAGCGCTGACATATCTCTATTGGTGGTATGCTCTGCATGCACCAAAGAAAAATGGATTGTACAGTCTGAGCGCCACAGTTCTGGCCTCTTCAAAGGATGTGGGTGTGGGTCAGAGACTTCAGGTGGCAGAGAATGAAATTCCTGGCCAGAAAGTGTGTGTTTGGTTTCCCGGGGAGGGGTTCATGTCCTTGCTGCTGATCCCAAGTTGGGAGGGTTATGAGAGGGTGGGAGGGGTGACACTGTAGTGTCACCTGCCTCTGTGTGTGTGTGCGTGCACATGTCCTCAGACTGCACAGGCTGGTCCTCAGGCTGACCTTGAAACGCCCCAGTTAAAGAAGGTCCTGTAACAGAGACCTGTGCAGGCTTCTGGGAGTGTTGGGCTGAGTGGGTAGATCTGGGAGAGAAACATGCAACTCGAGGACTTTCATCAATTCTCTTTCTATGTGAATACACAACTTGTTGTTTGCAGTGATTTCCTCTGTCGAAGAGCCCCACAGTGCTGCAGCTTTGACTTGCATGCCTTTGCACTTCAAAAGACTTGAAGGATGTCGTTTACAGTGCTTTGTCCAGCTTGCTTAGCAACTTTAGGCAAATCATGTTTTCTGTATGAAGTTTCATCGCTAGTTAAATGAGGGTAACTCTTATCCTGCTGGGGGGAGGAGCATGTTGTAAGGCCCACTGGTATGTGTAGAGCACTTTTGCTGCCCTTGCAGAGCATCCATTATGTGAGAAGTCTGCATGATTAGCAACCCCCTGGCTGTCAATGAATGCTCTTAAAGTGCAGCACACCTAGAGCTGTGTAGTTTGAGAAGGTTGCCAAGAGGCACAAAATGTTGTCAGTGCTTTTTAGATTGCATTTGGCAATAGTCTGCTAAAGTAGTATGTTCCATCCTGTATGCAAATTGAACTTTGTCAAATTGTCTTACCACAAGATATCTATATTTGATACTATATTTCTTTCTCACAGATTCTGCCTGGCTTGTTCATTGGCAACTTTAAAGGTAAGATTAGTTTTATCATTATTTCTAGGATTACTTAACAGGGGTCTTAAGGTGTTGTTTCGCAGGTCAACGGAATTCTCTTTAACCCCATCTTGCTTCATTTCTGGATTCACCTGGTAGCACTTAAAGAACAACTTGTTTGCTTTGTCATCCGTGTGCTGTAAGTACTCTAAGAAAAATGAACGCCATCTCCTCAGAGCATGCTGCAGCTGGAATTCCTAAACATTGGCCTGCCTTAAACGATTCCTGTGCTTGGCAGGCAAGACTGTGAGCCAGGCAGACTCTTTGTAAGGCTTATTTCAAGCCCTCCTTATAAGTAAAGGCGTAGTATTCCTCCTGCTCATTGCTTTCATTATTTTGGTTATTTATAACAACTACTAAAGAGTTCTGTTATCACTGCTTGTGAGACTGATAGGTCTGCAGATTGCTGTCTGACCACTGATACTCACGCTGTCCGTGTCGCAGATGTAAGATTCTCAGGATTTTTTTCCCTTTTTGCATGAAGTTTATTTTTTGTGTACAGAAAGACACAACCATATTTAGAAAACACAGGAAGCTTTATGTAGGCATCCAAATAAATGACCTGTTCTCAAAGCACTCTGTTAGCAGCAGTTCCAGCTGACTGTGTCTACTCAGAAGTAAACCTGTTGTGCCTGTATAGTTGTTCTGATACATGTAGACCCTATATTTCCTATGCTTGGGTACAAGAGCAAAGCAGGACTAATAGGGGCTGCTGTGATATCCTCTCCTTCCTGGGCTAATATCACAGCTGGTCTATTAAGATTGGGCAACATCTGCATTGGATTTAGGTGGTGCTGCACCTCTTCTCTGCCTCACGCCCACCCTTCCTCCCCTGCTTTGCCCCCCGCCTCCCTCCCCCCCAAATCTGTGTGTTTGGTGGGTTTTGCATGATTACCTGCCTCTGGAGCTGCTGACCCATGTTGCTGGTCCAGTGCTTGCTGCCCCTTGGGAAGTGGAGCTGATCACCTTGAGAGGCAGCCCAGAGGTACATGTGAAGTTAAAAGCTGCCTTTCGCTGCACTGGGATTCAAACACAAGTACAACGGCTAGTGTGCAAGAGGGAGTTGATCATGCCGTGTGCCATGGTACGGAAAATGAGAGGATGGAAGTGAGTTTATACTGGTAATGAAAAGAGAAAACAGAAAGAAAGCAGGAAAAGGAAAATAAGGGGAAGAGGATAGTTTTGAAAACACTTTAGATGGACCCCTGCATGGGTCAGTGACAAAACTAATTTGGTCACAGCCATGTTGCTTCCTCTTTTTGCTCTCCTTACCCGCCCCTTCCCCTCCCCCCCGTCAAGTAATTTAGGAGAGGGGCGAGATGGGAGGATGTTTGATAGTGGAGTCCTTTAGGTTTCAAGCTATCTGGCAGGGTGGGCAGGATGGGCCCAAGGAACGTGGCTCTCAATCTGTCCCTCGCTGTGGCCATCCTGCCGCTGAGCCCTTGACAGTCTGCCCAGGGGAGTGAAACTCAGCCGGAGCATCTGTTTCGTGGTGCAGTTCTGTTTTCAGCTGATGAACAGTTTGACCCGCTGAGGGGAGTTGGCCAAGGTTGCGGAGTGAGTCAGCATCTCTGCCGATGCCAGGGCCCACGACCCTCTCGCTCGCTCCTGCTGCTCCGGCCACTCAGCTGCATGCCTGGCGAGTGGTCCTTAAATGGCATGTCAGGTCACTCCTACGCATGGAGTAGAGGTGTGCACGCAAAGGTGGTGTGAGTGGGCAGTGTTTCTGGGAGTCTAGCTGAAAAAAATAAGGAGCCTGAAATGCTTCAGCTACCTCCATAAAAGAAAGTAAGGATGGGTTGGCTTTAACCTCAGTGCTTGATGGAGTCTGTTTTCTTTAAATTGATTAAAAACACAAATGAAATGCTTGTTTATTTATTGCTATGACCTTTGTTCACATTGCATTTAATCATTATGTTCCACCATCATGAGTATTTGTTGTTATAATCTCAAATTAGCTACCGTACCTCGAGAGGGAGAGAGAAGATTGGTGTTATAGTTCTTCACTAATACAAAAGCAAATTTTGTAATTCTGTCTCTTCCTGCATCCCCTGTCCCTCAACACCCCCCCGCCTCGCTGCTTAAGAGCATTTGCAACGAGCTCTCTGTGCAGTGAAGTCATCCCATTTAGGAACAGACTGTTGGTTAATTACCAGTGTGTTTTTCTGGAGTAGTTTGATTACCATGTTCTTGGGGCATGTTCTAATTTGTGGCACTCTTTCAAAAAGTGACTAATGAATTTCGAGACTGCCATAAAGGGGATCACTGACTGAGAAATACTCAGCGACATATACAGTTGGGATTGGTTCGAGTATCCTGATTTGGGCAGCTGAAATGTCTAGATACTTTAAAAGACATGGGTTTACAAAATTCTTTCCTGTAATGCACTTTTGAGCAGTCTCCTACTTCTTCAGCTTGAGACTGATAGCTTTAATTGAATAAAGCTGCATCTTGTCAGTAAGAGGGGTAATACTGAATTCCCGGTGTTGTGCATCTCACCCGGATATGGCTGAGGCATCGTGGCACCTTCCGGGTCTCTGTGTGGAGGGCAGAGAGGAGGCAGCTTCTCCAGAAGGTGAGCCAGGGGAATCTCTCTGAATCGCTCTGATCTGCCCTCTGGAGGTTAGCATCCCCTCCTTTCTCCAGTGACTCTTCAGGGAGCCTGGGCAGGCAGGGTTTCCATAGGTAGGTTGAAATACCCTTCTACGTACGCCCCGGTCTCCCTGCTCCATGGGAGACCTCTGGGGACACGGACAGACTGGGAAGAGGCACAGCTGCTGCAGCTGGGTGCCTTCCTGCTGAGTGAAAGCAGGACAAGCCTTATGAGGAATGATTCTATGTTAAAGATATTAAACACTAATCCTGGAGCGCCATTGCCTGGAGAAGGCATTCAGTAATTGTTCCAACTGGGGAACTATTATTCAATATTTCTACTTTATATATAGGGTTTCTTACTGTCTTTTTAGGCCTAATCAACTTAAAAACAATCCATGACACAGGAAATGCATTTGACTGGGAGATAAAGTGAGGCTCAAGAAAAACTTGTGAAATAAATCTGTGGCAAAAATGGGAGTTGAACTTGCTGCTTCTGGTTTTGTCTGCTGCTGCTGGGCAAACCTTTAGGCATGTAGAATGAGGGGCTTTTGTAACCACCTTAGGGTCTTTAGGGTAGAAAGTTATGTGTATTTCTGATTATGGAAAGCACTGAAGTACATGCTGAAATCCCCCTAAGTCCACAGGACTTGAGTATGGCTATGGAAAACTTTCCTGAAAAAGCATAGATCTTGACATGTGCTTAAGTGCTTGTTATCTTAAAAGATCTTAAAAGCAGTGATTCTGCTCATCAATAGCACATCAAAATTATGGTATGTTCCTGAGAGAGTGTATTTGAGATTGCACAGCTAGAGGGCAGAAAAATTCAAGAAGAACCACAGATGTCCATACAAAATACGAAGACTGAGTTTGGTCTGAAAGCCCAGAAGGAAACAGAGCTCTCGGGCTTCTTCAATGAAAATTAAGGAGGAGTTATTTCTTTGCAAATGGGAGGGTGGGTGGCTAAGAGAGAAAAATGAGGGAAGAGAAAGAGGAAGTTAACTCTTCTTCCCATCTCTAGTTTGGGGGGAATTTTGGTTTGTTCTGATTGTACCTCATAGATGAAATTCAATCCTTTCAAAAGACAAAGAATTTCTTGTAGGATTGCATGCCCACGTGTCTTCTGCATTGGAAACCTGATGTCCCTTGAAAGGCACCTGCGCTGACAATGAAAATAGGTGCTTTCTTCCTTAAGAGACTGATACAACACGTCTATTTGTGCAGAGAAACAGGCTAAAAAGCTTAAATACCATTTCTTCTGATGGTAGGTTCTAAGTGGGTGCTTGTTTGGTTTCAAACTGAAAGGCATAGCAGTAGCGAGCACCAGAGACTCAAGAGTGTTTCTGCCTTGAATATTAAAGAGCTTCCTTGCTTGTAATCATATTTGGAAGATTCAAGTTTTTCCAATGGAATATTTGGGGGCTTTTTGAAGGGGAAAGCCACAATATGAGGTTTAATTCCCCCCAGAGAGTCCAGTGTCACTGTGAATGAGCTGGAGAGTCTTGGGAAAGTTTCTGCTATTCTTCCTGTTACTAAGTGTAAAAAAAGGCAGTGCCCACCAAGTGGTTCTGCTGTGTTTCTAGATCCAATTAATTCCTGTTACCAGCTGCTTAATTTTTTGGGGGGAAAAGTTCCCTTTTTCAAGGCTTTATTTCAAGTACTGAAAACAGGAGAGGGTAAAGATACCATTCACTTTTTCAGGTTCATCTTTTGAATATAGGTGCTTTCATTAAATAGAGTACTGGACCTTTTTCCCCACCTTTCTCACTCCCCGAACAGGTCCTTCTGAGAGGCTGGGAGAAACTATGTATTAGAGCATAGTGTGAAGTGGGGACAGGAGATGTGGAGTTCTTGTTCATGTGCTTAGTTTTCTCTGTGTGTATGTCCCTCTAAGTGCAGATCACTGGACTCTGGAACAAAGCTCTCCTGATGGAAAACCGTTCTCAGTAATAGGTATTGGTGCTCTGAACCAATGGAGAGGAGGTTCTCCTTTGGGTGTCTATCTCTAGGTCTCTCCAAAGCAGAAAAGAAAGTGTGGATAAAAAGTTGCTTAAAAAAAAAAATAAAATAAATAAATCTGGTGATGATAAAACTGTAGTTTCCATACATCTGCAGATTGAGACTTAATATGGTGGTACGTACTAGGCTCATACCTTGGTTTTGTATGCATAACCTAAAAGTTTATACTGAAAACTTAATACTCATTAGCTTACTGTGTTATAGGAGCATGTCTGTCTTTGCAGACTAACAACGAAGTCAGCTATGTGGGCTTTAGAGGAGGAAGAAGGGAGGACGGTTTTAGTTTGGGATAGCTTGCTAATGGGAGGAAAGGTGACAAAAGAAAAATAAAGTAATCTCACTTATTTTATGGAGACATTTAATCTTCTAATTTCACAAGTAAGTTGCAGTTAAATGTTGCCCGTCAGGCCCACATCAGTGTACTGTTTTTTTTCCCCTGTTCCTGGGAGGATGCTTTTGTATTTTGTTGTTAGCAGTAGAGGTGGAAGAGATGCTACAGCTGTTTCTTCCCAACTAACTCTACAAAGGGAGAAATCTTTATTCCTCACTTTGCATCTCTATGGAGGTACTAAAGTAAGCAGAATGGTTGTGTGTACATTTGAGACTTCCTCACCCTAGTATTGGAGTCCTTCAGTCATGGATGGTCTTAAGCGGGGTGGTTGGAGCAGTATTGTCCTCCTTTTGCATATGAGGGATGCAAGCACAATATACTAGGTGATTTACTCCCCAGCCACACAGTAAGGCTTCCCAGAGCCGCAGGGAAACAAAGTCTGACACCCCCACCCTGGTCCCATTTTGATGCCTTTGCCACTGCTTTTGCACTTAAGTGTTTGCAGCTCTCTGCGTATGAGTAGAGATTAAGCTAGCAGTCATAGAATGAAACTGAGGGAAAAGAAGCTGAATGTGGGTGTGGGAGGGAGAGAGGAAGGCTTCCCCAGTGTGAATTGTGTCCTTTTGTGTGAGGAGAGTTTTTCATGAAGGCTGTACTCGAAAGTCCACATCAGCTGAGAAGCGTTTTGCTGTATGGAACAGAGTATTAGGTAACCTACTGTGAAGAATAATACCACATTTGAGGGACCCTTTAGGGATGCACAAGATGGACTCTGATAGGTTTCTTTCATCTCTAAATTTGGAAATGGGGTGTTTCACGCTGTGATTTCAAAATGTGAGCCTGCATGTGGTTGTGCAGCACTGTGGTACAGTAAAGAAGTTAGAATTGCTGTGGTAATTGTGATTCTTCCGGCTTTTGGTGGTCCTTTACATAACCCCTTATTTTATTTTATTTTTTTATTTTGTGATATGAGACCATGAGTGACAGGATATCTCATTTATACTGCTGTTTAAATAGCTTCGTCTGTAGTATCTGTGGACACTTATGGCAGGTGCCAGGGGAACCAGGGGAATTTCCCCTTTGTAAACTGTTTAAAGTTTATATCCAGATAATACAGTCATAGGCTAGGGAGCTTTTCTCCTACTTTTGTGATTTGAATGGTTGTTTCTGAAATATATCGAGGACCTGATGGTTACCCTCGGATGTAGGTCTGGGATAGCCATTTCCAGCTTGTTTCTAGGAATACATGAAATTTCACTGTCTTGCTGTATAGTTTTGATTTGTTGAACTTCCTTTAGCCTAGGTCTTTGGTTAAGTGAAGAACTAAAATCTTTCAGTCCTTCTGAGTTGTACTGTGTTTGTTAGGCTTTTCAGACTGGTTCAAAGCAGTCAACAATTAATTTGGATCATACCTACTTTTAAAGCTGTTTGCCTTGTGTGGCAAGCCATTTCTTACCATGTGGATCATACTGACAATTAGAGATTGGGATCTGGTTGTGCTAGGTATGCATTAACACTGTGAGTTCCAGCCAGCAGGCTTCATAATCTGCTCTTAACCTTTGGAGAACAGAAAGCAGTGATTTCTAGGGACACTTAGGCTGGCTCCTGGGCTTCCAAACCTTACCTGCTTAGGTGTTCTCTGAGGAATCAAGCGTGTCCTATAAACTGTTAAAAAAATCTGAAGATCGGGTGGATTAGAAGACCTCTCCTGGCAAACATTCGTGTTTCCTCTTTGAAATGCTTACTCTGAGATTTTTGGGCAATTTTAATTGTTCTGTGCAGCTAAGCCTTAATTCTGTTTCAGATGGAATTTCTGTTAATTCTCTCCTGAAGGATTAGGCATCTCTGTTGATCATGCAGGCTTGACCAGTAGCAAGTGAAATCAATGCAGTTTTGACTCTTCTCTCCATTTTATTAGACTTAGAGAAGCTTTGATAATTGGATTAGGTTTAAATTTTATTGCCTGTTATTGTGCTCATGTGGATCTTGTCTGTGGGGCAGTATAATTAAATGCCCAATTCCTCTTTGTGATGTAGAAAAGGCATTGAAACTTTATAGTTGAGTGGAATAAGATGAAGCAAGAGATGCTAATTGAACTCTTGCACGTACATAAAGAATGTACAGGTGATGCTATTGTTATTTTTGTACCTAGAGAGAGCCGGTTTGAAACCTTTGTGGTCAGTGCTCTTTTTTTTTTTGTGCGCAACCAGGCTAATGTGAACAGATTGTATGGGCAGATTTGGAAGGCAGGTGTTCACATCACAAAACCACTGCTGTAATTGCCACGGTGTGCTGTGCCATTCTCAAGCAAAAAGGTCAAAAGTAAATGGACACAAACTAACTTTTACCTGTATTAGTGGTCATCTGAGGTCATTTTCTGGCATGCTAATGGTTTAGTATGGGGAAAGTTGCTCATTGATGACAGATTATCTCTTTTACCTTCTTTCTTATAGAAACAAACCTATGCTTTCACAATAGCATCAAATTTTCAGTCGCCTCAGTTTACTTTCCAGTTTTGAATGTTTGAAACCCCTTGGTTACAGGTTTAGGAACCACCTTTTCACAACTGTGCTTCCTTGCTGCAGCATTTTGCTTTTTAATACGTTCAATATCTTTATCATCTCGATCTCCCTTCAGACTTAAAATTATGGTATGTATTGGCTAAATGCACATTTTTCCATACTGGTCCACAGGAAGTAAGGATCTAGTTATCGTTTTTGCTTGCCCATTAATACCTGAATTCAAGTGATATGGTTGGCTTCACTTCTCAGACCTGGATATCACAACGTCTATCTCCCAAGTGAAAATACATCTCCTGAAGGGGATTTGTGGGTAGAGAGGAGGTAAGCTATTTCTCGTACAGCTCTGACTGCTTGTTCAGATGGCCATCACCTGCACACAGGCGTACACAGACTTATATTTCAGATGCAAAATACATGAAACTTCTGACTTAAGAACACATTCCTGAGTCACTCAAGCTTGTTCTTTATATAGTATATAATTTGTTTTGGAGTTAGAAGTGTGTCTTCCCGTTACCCATTCTGATGATGGTGTTCTAGAACAGCTGCATTTGGGGTTTTGCTTTACTTTATGAAGCTTCAAAAAGAAATGTACCAAGTATAAGTAATGTTCAACATGCACAATGGAAAGGGGAGTGGGCTATTTCAAGAGATTAAAAAAATTCTCTTCTTTCTTTCCCTTTTTCACAGATGCCCGAGATGTAGAGCAATTGAGTAAGAATAACATTACGCACATTCTTTCAATCCATGACAGTGCCCGCCCTATGCTCGAGGTAAGAGGTGTGGGGGACTCCATGGTAAATCCTTACTTTGCAGTTGACTGCTACAGGCAACTTGGGGCTAATTACTTGTTCTGCATAATTCACATTTTGAGACTGATTTTCTTGTGGAAATATTTGACAGCTGTAGTTTTGGGATCTAGTCACAGATTTGTTGTTGCTGCTGTTGTAACAACAAGAAATCAAACTGACAAAGGAAGAGACAATTACAGTGTCAATCAATATAACACAATAATGGGATTGTTATTAATTTCATAGTAAAGGTAAGTTTCCTTCTCTGTGGAGTTCAAGCATCACATAAATAATAACATTCCTTCTACCCCTTCCCCAAGACCAACCTTCCTTTGTAATTGGGCCCCTTTCTTGAATCTTTATAGCAGATGGTTGTGAAAGAGGCTTGCAGTCCTTTTCCATGTAAAATAGCCTTATTTAGGCTTGGGGCATGCCAGGAACCAGTGCTCCCTCATATAATTCATCTAATATAGCAAACCATCTGTAGGTCTCTTACTTTAACAGGAAGTATTATTCCTCATTTTACTGAAGGTAAGGTGACCTGAACAGATGAAATGACTTGACTTCTTGTGTCATCTTGAGCAGTGAAAGAGCTTTCCTGTGTTGGGACTGTTCTTTATGCCACCTTACCTTGGAAGGAGGGGAATTTGGCTACACCTTAAAATCCTCCTATTTGATTTATGTTGGGAACTGTTGTCCCCTTCAATTTGTTTCTTCCCTGCATTCCACTTTTCATGAACTATGGCAAAATAGTGGGTAAGGCAGTTGCTGGTGTTACCCCTCAGATGCTGCTGGGAATCTCTGCTTTTCATTCTCTTCATGTAAAAGTATCTAGTGAATTTAGTCCTTCAACTACAGAATTTTCACCTCTCCCAGGCAAGTCAATAGGTAAGCTGAACAGAAAGTGTCCCTAGTATGTCACGATTAAAACCAAAATCAAGTTTATGGTGAATTCAGGGTTGACCTTAAACTTAAGTGTGCTAAAGCAGAGTTTTAGCTGTTGACTTTATTATACTGTCCATTTTACTTCTATTGTGCTTGATGCCTGTTAAGTCTGAAACATACTGAATTTCAAGAGTGCTCTTAGTTGAAGAGATAAACAGTTGTACTGAGTAAGGGAGATGTAATGTTTTCTCTAGGGTGCTGTTCTCTAAAATGAATAGAAGCTTGCTTTGTTTTATTACCATGATTAGAAAAGTAGGAAGACTAATTATGGTACAGATCAGCTGCAGCATCAGGCCAGTGTTTCTTGTGGTGATAGTAGTTTTGGCAGCCCACATGCCACCACCTCCCTTGTGGTGGTGCATCTGTTTTGGAGGCTGCATGGTAAATAGATCTGGCAGCTTTTGTGGGTTAAATATAACCAAGTCACCATTTCTTCCTCTAGCTACCCCCACAAAAGACAGGAAGGATTATTTTTACCCAGATCTGTTCCCAATCTTGTTCACAATAGTGTCTCAAAAGTTACAGTGGCATGGGAACAAGTAGTGGCTGGTTGAGGATGGACTTGCTTTATTCACTCCTGCTTCTGAAAGAAATGTTTCTTCTACTGTGCCTTCTGTTTTCTCAGTGTGCAGTATACTCCTTTATGTGCCAGTGGTCTGGAAAACAACTGTTAAAACATTTTCCCAGTTCTCTAAAGTAGTGGAAGGATTGCAAGTTCCATTTGTGTGGGAGCTGAGCTGATTATTAATTACTTTATCATTCACGGTCTTACTGTGGTGCTTGTTTGCAACTAAATGTTTCTGTGTAGGAACAAGGGCCTGGAAAACATCTGTTAGGTTGTATTATGTCCTTTGTTATTTACTGTCGTTGTAGAGATGGACACGACACTGAATATCAAGTTGCAGCAACCTTATATTTTATTTTATAAGCAGTGCTCTTTTGTATCCTTTTACCTGGATGCTTATCTGTGCATATACTCTACCATTCTACTTTTGCTCAATCCACTCTCACATCACACACCATCCAGCCAATACAATTGTTGATCACGCACTGTTCATGCTCTGGTCAAAGCCAGGATGTTTGCCAACCCTTATCTTGTTTGCTCAGATCTTCTCAGGGTTCTCCAGTCTCTTAAGGGTACACGAGTATCTGCTCAGGGTCAATGTTAAACTTGTATTCTGATCCCTCGGACCAGCCGAGGTCTCCCGCAATTTACATCTTTGCCAGGGTTGTTTACAACTTGTGTATCCACATTATGCTTGGGGCTTGTTCTCAAGTCCACTGTCAAACGGGAAAGCTTTCACTACGTGTCTCCCTCTTCCCCTTTCCCCCAGATTTCACTTATGGAAAGTGAGGCCTTACATTTGTGTTCAGAAATTCACCTGATGTGATTCAGACCTTTAAACATGGAATTGCAGTGATACGAGAATCTTTTTTTTTTTTTTTTTTTTTTTCCTGAGATACCCTGTTTTGCATGTGTGTATTTATGTGAATGCTGATCATCTGTAAAAAGCTACCTTTTCTTGGACTGTGGTACTTGCATTTGTCTTTTGCTAAGAATATTTTACCTCAAGTGTTTCCTAGTCAATCTATAGGAAATGCTACAAATACTTCATTAAACAAACCTTTCTGTGCAAGCTATGGAAGGTGGTTTTTAGACACCGGAAACTCATTAGTGTTGTAGTAACAAGTTATCAAAGAGAATTTGGTCTTTTTTGGCTGTCTGTGAAACAAATAAATATGGATGTGTACCTTAGCTCTCAAAGAGGTTACAAATTACCCACATCTTGTTTGTCAGATTTTGAAGTTTCAGTAATGACTGTTTTGATGCAATAATACTTCTGATACAGCACTTAAAGCTGATAATGGTGGGTAGAAAATGAAAGTGACCAATCTGGCTTCGTTGTCCATACTCAAGAATGCAATACTCAAGAAATAAAAGCAAACCTCAGTGTGTGTGGTGAACACCAACTTGCAACAGATTGTAATGTTATTTTCTACTGTAGTAACTTATGACATTGCTACTTTCTGTGATGTTACAGACTGTTTTTACTTGGTTGTTTAAAATGCTCAAAGTACCTTTTAAAAAGTGTGCTTTCCTCTGGGCTTTATATACTGCAGTATGTGGATATATGTCGCTTTAGGTCCTTGTAAGTTGGTAAGCTATTAGAAAATGATTGAAGAGTTTCACAAGAAGGTATTATATTGGTTTAGGTTACATAGTGTGTTCCTGTTGAGAAATGACTTGGAAAAAAAAAAAAAGAAAATGTGTTTTCACTGAAACTTGGTTTCAGACATTATTTCAATGATCATTTACAAACTGTCATGGATGTCTCATTTATGGGGTGCTCATAATCAAAGTTTGGCCGTAGGAAGTTATTGCGTACTTTCAAGCTGGAATAACAGGAAAAAGTAGGTTTAAAAATCAATTAGATTCTAAGACTTTTTGTACCTTTAGACATTGACAGGCTGCATTAAGTACAAGACGCAGAATTGTTTTGTAAGGTGAGTGATTTAGACTGGCAGGAATTTGCCAAAATCTGACTTGAACCATCTTGCAATATCGCCCCTTAGTTCTTTTTGTATAAACTGTTTCAAGGAAATTTGTCCTCTAATAAAACCAATCCTGAAATTAATTTATATTTAGAGAGCATCCTAAGGTTATTGTTCCAATAAAGTACACCGTTGTTATACAGGATCTTAACCACTTAGGTAGGCATTTTGTAGTTTAGTGATGCGGGTTTATAACTCCCATCACAAAAACTATAGGTAACTGGTGGTGTGCCCAAGCGAAAGGACTGCGTGCCATATGGAACAAGGTTTGTTATTTCAGATGCATGTAAGTCACCTCCTGAGTAAGAGCAGTATCCAACAGCATCATGTGTGTTCCTGCAGAGGCACGGAGGCAATAACCTTGGTGAATCAAGTTGGCTCCTTCACAGCACTTTGGATGGCTGCCCATGGAACACTCACAGATGTTTTGTAAATCCACACAAAAGCCATATGCAGAGGAGAATAATTAGGTTTCTTGCCACCTGCTTTCTAATCCATTTCTCAGCTAGTTCAGGTTTTAAAATCTCTGTTCAGAATGTGACATACACTGAAAGGTGGATAGGGAAACGTATCTCAGAGTGTGCTTTAAATAATAGCGTATCTGGCGGTGACGTGTTGGATCTATCCAACAGGTTGTCATCCATCTGTATTTCTGTAAGGCCTTTGACACAGTCCCCTACAACATCCTTCTCTCTAAATTGGGGAGATGAGGATTTGATGGATGGACTGTTCGGTGGATGAGGAATTGATAGGATGGTCACGTCCAGAGGGTCATGGTCAATGGTTCAATGTCCAGATGGAGATCAGTGACGAGTGGTGTCCCTCAGGGGTTCGTCTTGGGACCAGTACTGTTTAATATCTTCATCAATGATGTAGACAGTGGGATTGAGTTTGCCCTCAGCAAGTTTACAGATGACACCAAGCTGACTGGTGCAGTTGACACACCTGAGAGATGGCATGCCATTCCAGAGGGACATGGACAAGCTTGCGAATTGGACCCATGTGAACCTCATGAGGTTCAACAAGGCCAAGTGCAGGGTCCTACATCTGGGTCGGGGCAACCCCTGGCATCAATACAGGCTGGGGCATGAAGGGATTGAGAACAGCTCTGCCGAGGACTTAGAGGTACTGGTGGATGAAAAGCTGGACAAACTATTCTATGATTCTGTGATCTCTTGGTAGAACTCTCTTTTTAAAGCTAGGACAAATAGCTGTTGGGGTTGGAGACCAAAAGGTCAAATGTCTGACTTATGGTGTCCATATATCCTAAGCAAGCTGGTGGGGTCAGTCAGAATCCACAGAGGATGTGGAAGCACTCTTAAGGAATCCTGAGCAGTTCTTCCCCCGTTGCTTCAAAGGACGCCAGCTAGGTGTTACTCTATTGCATTAAATCTGCAGTCTTAACAAATTTTGTGCCAGTTGATCTAAGTGAAGTAAGTAAAGGCAAATCTTGTTAATCTTGCCAGAGGAATCTGGTTGTAGGT